CGCGGTCACACGTACAGATGTTGATCCATTATATGAACTGTAACATGCGTATTAAATCTAGCCAAAATCTGCTGTAAGCTCTATGGTACACTGCACTCTGAGGATGTGCTACTTGAGTCCAGCATGCATGGACACAAAGCCGTACATAATATTCTACATTTGCCAACTGTGCGTTGACAGCACTCCAGAATCATTACAGGGTGGTCGCGCAACTCAATACTTTAGTAGTGCACTGATGTGCCTGCTGCAGTTGCATAGCTTTTGGTGCCACCGAGAAACACGCAACTGTGGGATGTGCATGTAAGGAGAAGACTAGAAGATAAATCAACAGTAATTGCATTCATTCATATACGTAATACAGGTCCACTGGTTCACGTCAGTTTCATTTCGCCTGACCAAGAGCAGGTGACTGACTTATCCAAGTCTCGCCTTCCAAACTGGGGCTGCCCCCTTTCAAAGCATGTCAGTGTGAGTTCGCGCTCCAGAAAAAATACATCCATACTCAAGAAGCTCCTTTGCACTTGGGCTGGCATCCTCTTTCCAAGCAACGTCTCAGGTCCGAGACGTTGATCCCGAGGTCTTGCCGGCAGCGCGGTGGGTCTCCAGCCACCTGGTCTTCCGCCTCAGTGGGCCTCGGCAGCTGGGAGAGCTCAAGGAACGAGGGTTGAGACATGGACAGACTAGCTTTTGAGAAGTTGCCGGTGAGGTGACTCGAAGCCAAACGACTAAACTCATCCCTTCCCCCCAATAATACCACCCCCGAATAGGGGGAAGAGATAAAACTGTATATGTGTTATGTGTGTTTGAGTTTTCATTGTCAGGTCCCTTTGTGGGATCCATTGCCTGCCAGGGTCTTCAGAGCAACACTTTTCGTGGGACTGCGGTTCCTCGCAACGCGAAACCGAGAAGCCGGATCAACCGTGTTCCGAACGTTGGTCCCTGCACCAATCCGCATTTAGATGGTTGACGCATCATCAAAGTAGCACTTAAAGAAGGCTTCAAAACCAGCATATCACTGATGCTGAAGAGTGGCAATTTGAGGGGGGCGGGGTTGTGAATGACCAGTCCATGAACAACGGGTGCCCCATCCTTGGGAGATGTGTTTCACGAATGACCAAGCATGCCAGGGGGTAAGGGGTTTTCAAATTGGGACTCCTTCACGTGATCTCCTCTGCCGCACCCTTTCCATGTCTTTCAACTCCTTTTGGAGGCGGACCCACAGACCCCCAGTTGGCCCGGAGGAGTCGCTGGTGGTGGAGCCCGCCCACCCCAAGGAGGAGGAGGGCAACCAGCGGCGCTTCAAAGCGGAGCAATGGACCGAGCAGCTGCAGATACCGGGAGGCGCACGTTTCAAGCATGTCAAACATGCTTTTTCCGCTGCAGTCTAAAGGGGTCAAAAGGGTCAAAAAGGGTAAGAAGTCAGAAGGGGCAAAAACGGATCAGAAGGGTCAAGAAGGGGTCAGAAGGGTCAAAAAAGATCAAAAAGGGTCAAAAAGGGTCAGAAGATTCAAAAAAGGGTCATCATGTGTCAGAAGGAAGGGTCAAGAAGGGTTCAGAAGGGTCAAAAAGGGTCAAACGGGTCAAAAAGGGTCAAAAAGGGTCCAAAGGTCCGCAACTCTGGCACACTTTTCTCCAGGCAACGGCCATGCGCCCTTCCGGCCTGTGCTGCTGAGCACCTTCCTTGGGAACTGGAGGCCAGAACTTTGATGCCGCTGGACGTATGACTCAAACCCCGAAGGTGTTGATTGTTTCGCAAAAGACAATCGACGAAATGTCGAGTAATGACGGAACCATAGATCCTACAACTTGGTATTGAATATATTCAGTCAAGAGAAGAAAGTAACGCCGCCACGTCGAAACGCTATTCTTGTTTCGCAAGGCACCGGCACACGGAGGTGGTGGCCTTGGATCTGGTGGTAGACAGAGTCCTGCAAGCCCTCATGGCCGGCAACTGGAGGCTGCCAGGGTCGGACAACGACAATGGATTGAGTTGCGGACCAGCTTTGATCGTGCAACACGGCCTGGTGGTATAAGTATGGTCCTTCACATTCTCTCTCTCATCCCCTTGCAAAGGGCGATCCCTTTTTCAGGGATAGCAGAGGTGCCAACATGTCAGTGCACGGCTGACTCGGAACCCCCATCGGCAGGTGGCATGAGGATTTCTGGCAGGAGCTCGAGGGTGAGGCGCGAATGGGACAAGCATGTGAGCTTGTCAGATTCCTGACATCCACTTGAATTGTGTCAAACAAATGGCTAAAATGAAGAACACGTGCCTGGTGTGATAGGTAGCAGCGACTGCAGGACCGGCGACTTGTTTTGGACTCACGTGCAGGCCACCATGATAAGTTACCAGCCTTGACTCTCTCTGGAACACACAAGCAGAAACAACTGCAGCTGTTGAAGCGCTTGAAATCATAGAGCGATGATTTATTATTCCTGGCCAGATCAGGCTTTGCTCTGTGAGTCTACGTCTCATAGCGAACATTTGGCCCGGTCAAGCCCTGTTTCCTGTCTTTTTGTCAAGTCATCCCCTGGCAGGGAGATTTCTCGGCCTTGCCAGTACTCGGATTGAGCTGGCCCCTCGTTTGATTGCACGTTTCAGGATGGGACCCCTTTGTGTTTGTTGTTTTTGCCAGTGTGCAGGCTTTGGGGAGGACATGGGCCCGAACCCAACAACAGGGACCATCCAATTGTCTCAGCTCCTTTTGGTTGCAACGGTTCCGTTGAGGTGGAGCTGTTGGTGCCCCACACGCCCTGCCTAAGCTGCGTGGGGGCGCTCGCGCAGCTCAGAATCTGGGCTCCGAAGCTGAAGATCCGAGTGCTCTACCAGGCGCGCGCAACACAACACGAAACGCGGGAAAGTCACCAGAAAACTTTATTTGGTTTTGCGAACCGGAGCCCCAAAGTGGTGACCGCTCCTTGCAACAGTCAGCGTTGGGCTAAGAAGTGGTTGAAGAAATGTTTGCCAGCGTTGACTTAAAGCAAGCTGAAACATAACGGGGTCCACCTCCAATGCTCAGAATCGAGGAAGACAAACCCTCCGGGGTGGGGGCTTGGGCTGGGGGGAGTATTTGCCGAAACATCCAGAATCTGCCGGAGAAGCACCCTGACACATTGCCCCCACGGCCCCAAACGAAAGAGCCGGCCCAACTCGAAGCACCGGCCTCCAAAAAATGGGTGCCGGAGTGCTGGGCCTGCGAGTGTTCCGCATGTCTCTGGCCTTCACTTACGGAGCTTGACTTGTGCTCCTTTCATTTCAGCCAGGGTCCAGATGTGTCGCTACTCGTCCATATGGATGGGATATGCATGGGACAATTGGTGAGTCCCCTGATGTTGGCCGGGATGCAGTGATTTCCTCCTTATCTCAAGCGGCCCAAGCACCTGCGGCAAGGGCAGGCCGCCAGCCACAAGCTAAGCGCCATCAAAATGCAAGGCCTGCCGAGTGCATGCTCCCACTCAGGACTGGCGGGACTGGCGCAAGCTGCTGAGGGAGACTGTGGCGCAGAGGTAGCTTTGAGGGATCGCCTTGCCTTTTCCTTGGCTCAACCAAATTCCTCCTTCATTTAGGTGTCGCACATCAAGCCATGGTGCCTCCAAGAAGGAAACAATGTTACATGCTGTTGGCTGTTCGATGTCAATTGTTGGTGCATTTCTCCCAGACACCACGCCTACACTGCATGTTGTCCGGACAAGATTACAACTACTACTTGCCCCAGCGAGAATGTCTTTGTTCCTCGGACAAGAGGGAGGCATCGAAACCTGACCGATGTATTTCATCCACATCCCCGGATAGCAGCCCAGCCGCTCAGGATTAGAGACATGTGGACGCGTGGGAACCTAATACGGGAAGCCCACCAGGAGTTTCAGTGGATCTTGGCTTTCCGCGCGGTCGCAGTAGACGGCCAATCGACCTGTTCGGACAATTTCCGCAATGATTCGGCGCCTCCCGTGAGCTTTGATCGTTTGGGTGTTTGTTGCTTACCAGCAAGCTTGGAGAGTAGGTGACTGTTGGTTTGCCGGATCCACTGGGGGAGTGGATGCGAAGAGAAGCTCGGCAGCTACAAAAACGCGCGAACTGTGCGCTCGGCACTGTCAAGGGACCGCCAAGACAAGACCTTCAGCAATATGTGTCATGGTCAACCGGGCGGTTGCTTGCTGGCCGCAAAGGGTGGTCACGGGTCCTAGTGTGGACCCACAAAAAGGTTTCTGACAATGTCACGCATGGATACGCGGCATATGTCAAACCAGTCAGATCCCTTTGTTCATTTTGCAAGCAACTGATTGATCCCTTTTGGGGAACATAAAGGGACCTCACATAATTACGTCTTCGCTGTGCTCGGTGCCGGGATGCCACCTAGGTTTCCATGCATGGCAGGTGTCCTTTAGGTTTCCCTTCGACATCCAAGTGAAGGGGTCAGATTTGGGTGACATTCCTATAAATCTTGGCGCTATGACACTCGTGGCGAGCTCACGTTCTTAGGCAACATGGTTGATGCCGATGCTCATGTAGGTGATACAAATGAAGTCAATGAACTCAGATGGCCAAAATGAAGTCAATTTTATAGACACCCGAGTCACCCGAGTATATACATATATATATATATATGTATATATACTACGTATAAACATATGTATATCCTATATATACATATATATATATATATATATATATTATGTAATGCATAGATTTGCGTTGAGCTTAAAACAACTTGGGTGCATGCTTCATTTTACGCTTGTGGGAATGTTGCCATTTTGGAAGGTGTTGATCCAACAGTGGACAGCCACTGCCGCTTCACGGTTTTGCGTGAGCAAATGAACAGTAAGGGGAGAAAGGGAGGCTGCCCCATTTGAAAGGTACAGATATACATTGAAAACAAATTATATATATATATACACGTACATGCACCACCACCCCCTCCAACATGAGGCAGATGGCCCAACATCTTTCAAAAATAGCAGCTCCACTTCAGCAATGGACATCTTGGTGTCTTGCGTCGCAGGCTGAGATTCGACGATCCCAGTCTGATCTGCGACGACCAACATCGGCAGGAGAGGTGCGGCTTGGGGCTATGCTAAGCTTTGCGTAGCTAGCTGCCAGGGTAAGCCTCGCTGAAGTGTAAACCGACCTTTGCCTGTGATGTTGAATAGGAAACTGCATTTTGGATTAGTAACTCGCTTATTGTCAATAGGATGCGTAGTGAATGTTCAGCTACTCTCCTCCGTGTTTGAGCAGTTTTATGCCTCAAGGTGCCAGTTTCTGAAAAGCTAATGTTGCAAGACAGCAGTTTCCTGCCGCCTCAGCCGAACATGTAAAACTGAAATAGCCGACAAAACCTACGCAGGTCACTACTTGCAAGCAGGATGGGGTTTGTAGCAGTACCTCACATAAACTGTCAGGACCCAAAAAAGAGAAGCCTCATGTGCGCATTTGTGTACGTCCGCTGTGCGCGTCTTGTACGGTTTGAGTTTTGTTTGTCTGGCTTGAACCAGGGGGAGGTACAGGTGCCCAATTGCCATGTCTCAGCAGCAGATAGTGCCACAAAGCAACAGAGAGCCACAGTTGACCCGTGTGCAAGGAAGCGTGGAGGCGAGTGTCAGTGTAAAAACGGGGCTTGGGGATTTGGACATGACCCACGCAGCCTTCTTTCAAACTGCAGGCATGTCTTCTTGGAGCTATGCCATATGCTGACCCCCTTCGAAATGGAGCAGCCCACATTGGCGAGATGTTTTGAAGTGCGAAACCTCTGCATCTGAGAAAGAGGATGGGAAGGGACTCTTTGTCATTTTGAGTGGTGCAAGAACAGTCATTCTTTGGTGTCTGGCCTAAACAGTGACGTCTGCATCAGGAATCCGCTAGGTCGGAACCACACCCGAGGGTCAAAGCTTGTGCTGCAGTTCCTTGTGGAAAGAGTACGGGGTTGGGGCGGGCTGCCTTTTGTGGTAGAGGGCTCTCGCCAGGTCTCTTCAACGTCAGTTGTGTCACAGGAGGAGCCGGTGGGGGGTGACGTTGTCATGAGGCCCAACATGATCTTTTCAGGATGATTATTTCAAGTATTGATTGCTTATCTTGCCTGAGCGATTTGTTTCGCCTGTCTTGGTAAATTGCATGAAACCTAGGTAAATGGAAGCGACCTCACAACGGGGCGCCTGTTTGAGGGTTGGTGAATAAGAAACTCAGCAGTCCCAAGGGTAGCTGAGAACGAAATGAACTTCTTGCGGACGGTACTGCAGAGAATGATGTCATGTTGGCGCAAAGAATGAAGAGGGCATGTTGTTTGTCAGCTGCCTGCAGCCGCAATGCCCTGCTGCCTTGTCAATCTTAGTCCTTTCACACTTAAGAAGTACCAGGTTACCAGATGGCAGTTTGTTGCATGCAATAAAGACTAAATGACACCTTTGCCGTCACCTTTGCAGTTGTTTTGCAATCTCAGGCGCACCCGAGACCTCTCCAACACAACAAACTGGTTGGTTTAGCACTTTGTTTGCAACATTCTAGCCTGCCCTGGGACATTTTAACTGGCGCCGCAGGTGTTGAAAACAAAGCTGCCTTCTTTGTGAGAGCGAAACTGTGCAGGGAAAGCCAAAGCGACGGCCCATGTCTAGTTGCATCCCTGGCAAGTCACAAGGAGTGGACAATGGCGGCAGGGAGCTCAGAAGTTCTGGCCGGAGCACAAGGTGGCAGACTCTTCCCACAAGTGAAACTTAGGGCTTCGTCCTGTGGGTTTCAGCTCAAAAGCCACACTGGTTGTCAGTGTGCTTTCTTGGGGCTGGCTGGCCTCAGCTCTTGGGCCACGGGATGGGGTAGACACAGACGGTGTGCAGTTGTTATCCTCACGGAGAATGGCCACGGATCTCTGTGGTTCCTCCCTTCGCAGTGCTGCAAAATACAGCTCCCCTGCCAACAATTTTGGTAGCTCATCCAAGTGTCCAACTACAACCACGTCCGCGCAGATGTCATCGTTTGAGACTGGCACGTCCTGTGGCAAAGGTCCAGGTTATGTGTTGATCTGACATGCCGTTTCCGTAGTACACAGTGGCTTTGTCTTCACACAGAAGCATTGAGATGGCCTGTTTTGTAAGCTAACTGAATCTTCATGTTTGTAAGTTATCAAGTCACAGGTGTTGATTGTTCGAAGCCCTAGGAAATTGCTGAAATTGCTTAGAGCCAATGCGAGTGCAACTCACATTTTTGCTTGGTGTGACCCTTAGTCTTGAACTGTTGAGCAAATGGCACTAACCGAACAGTGTTTGTGGTGCTGCGCAGGGGAGAAGAACACCAATGTACATGCGTATATATATATATATATATACATATGCACACACAGAATACACGTGTAGATATATATATATATATGTGGTCAAGGGTTCGCAAGTCCCCCCCCCCCTCCCCCCCATGGTTCCCAGTCCTCCCCCCCCCCTTTTCTGTGGTGTGGTTTAGGGTTGGTTTGTGGTTGGTCTAAGACCACCCCTCCCCCACCCCCTGTGGTGGGGTTGTAGTGGTTTAGACGTGGTTTAGGGTTGATCTAGTTGTAGTGATTTAGGATGGTTTATGGTTTGTTTAGAGTGTATTTAGTGTTGGTTTAGGATGTATCCTTGGTGCAGGGGTGGTTTAGGTTAGTTTCGGGGTGGTTTAGAGCGTGCTTAGTGTTTGTTTAAGATATGTGCTTAGGGGTTGGTTTAATCTAAGGTCGGTTTACGGTTGGTTTAGGCTTGATTAAGTTGGTTCCGGCTTGGTTTAGAGTGTGTTCAGAACGTGTCAAGTGTTTAAAGATGTGTGTTTCGAGCTAGTTTAGGGTTGGTTTAGGGTTTGGGCGCAGGGGGCGTGCCGAGGTGCAGGTTCGGGTGAAAGGGCCGGGGTCCGGGACCGCAGGGCTTCTCCTGGGGGTCAGGTTCTGGGGGGGGGGGGCGGGGGGGGATACCATTTGGGGGGGGGAGACTGGGAACCCGGAGCGCGGGAGCATATATATATATATATACATTTATATATATATATATATATATGTATATATATATATATAGAGATATGCGCACACGTATACACAGTATTGGCTGTCGTCAGTTGCTCTTTTAGAGTTTCCTTTTACCCAAGCAGCTTTGGTGGCGGTTCGCCCTTGCTTGTTATATCTCATCGGAGTATGTAGGTGTATCTGAACACGAAAGCGAAACCTTTGCCTCTGAGCCAGAACAAGAGCGTTGCCAATTGAGCAGTGCGCAACATCCCTGTGGTCAAATCTAGCATATGCTTCTATCCCCCTGAATTCGTGAGGACTATTTGCCTTACCATCTCAGAACCCACAGGCGGGTCTTCGCTCCGTTTCAAGGCCTGGCTCAAGGAGAGCTGCCTGGCTGCGCACCAGGAGGCTGAGTCCGGGGTGGGGAAGAGGGAACTGTGGGACTTCCACAAATGGTGCATCAGGTTGCGTGATCAAGAGGTTTGTCCCCACTTCTGTGAAAATTACAAGGGAATCTTGCTTGGTTAATCTTTGGGCTTCTGTTGTATCACAGAAATGGTCTTTCCCCTCAGCCCTGTACAACAGGGGTTCCCATTTGGTCAAGGGAGCCCTTCTGATTGTGCTTGCACATGGTGCCCCAACCCAAAACGTCTTCCCTTCTTTCAAGCCCACTGGGTTGCTAGATTTACACATCGAGTTTCGCAGGTTCGGTCATTGCTGGTCAGGGCGGTTCTGACTCCTGCTTCAAGCTCGACCATACATATATATATATATATACACATGTATGCATATATGTATATATACATATCCATTGTCCACGTGAGGACTTGACAAAGATGACTCTAATGTGTGCGTGCGTGTGCTTTCTTGCTTACCCACAAGCAAGCCACTGCAGGAGCACTTAGGCGCAGGCACTCGCAATTGCATTGTCATCACATTCGGCGATGGACATATATATCTGTTCAGCCCAGGAGCATAGTTGCAGCAGTAGGGAGGAATGCATTCGGGACAACATCCGTAAGGACATGCATCTATGTATGGATTTGTGTGTGTACATTATGAATAATGTGAATGGACAAATGTATACATATTAAAAAATATGCATACATGTATATATATATATATGTATACGGCAACAACACGCACACACACACAGACAAACATCTGCACGCTGAACGGATTGAAGATCCCGTGGGTCAGCTTATAGCAACACTTGAGACATGCTGTGGGTCAAAACCAATGGTACAATTTTGGGGTAGGTGCACCACCCATTTTAGTCTATTTTAGTGGGGATTGGGATGTTCACTGTCACATGGTTGCACTTTACCAAAATGATGGCAGTGGTCCTACGAAGCCAGGCAATACCTTTGATCTCCTTCCTTCGGACAGCGGTCTCCTCGACTTTGTTGCTGACCTTGGGCCTTGTGGTAGAACTGATTAAGATCTTTTGTTCAAAATTGAACGACCAGTCTGTTGAAGGGAAATGACCCCGGAGGGAAATGACCTCAACCTCCCCTAGTTAAAGTCATACATGGTTGCGGCACGTCCCCAACAACTCCCCGTCTTGATCCAGGTGATGACTGGCGCAGAACTGACGAAACCAGCCAGGGGCCTAGAGCCAGTTGACCGACCTGGGGCATTGCGGGCCATTTGAAGGGGATCTAACAGCAATGTATCTAAGGTTTGGCTTGGGTATTCTTGTGAACAACACGGGGTTACAACAAGCTGCGGACGCCTTTGGCATGTTGAAAGGGACACCAAAAGGAACCACATGTTGGACAATTTTTGGCGGTTCAAGCGACCTGCACCAGGCCAAGGATCTCTACACCTGGCGCTTCGTACTGTCTCTAGGCTGGGAAGCAGAAAGCTAGCTGATCTTCCATTTGCAATGGGAGAGGGTCGTTGTTCATCCAGAGCCAAAGCAACAACGAGTAGGGACACCAAGTCTCGCTCATGTCTCTCTCCCTCTCTCTCTCTTGCTCTCTCTCTCTCTCTCTCTCTCTCTCTCTCTTGCTCTTTCTTTCTTTCTCTCTCTCTCTCTCGCTCTCTCTGTCTCGCTCTCTCTCACTCTCTTTGCGCCGCCGATTTCAGAGTAAGACATTCAGACAGACTGGTTTAATTCGAATTTCAAGACCCATTTGCCTCGTGTCACTCGCGTCACTCACGTCAGCCTGCTTCCTGCTGCTGCTGCTCTTTTGGAACGCCTTGGCGGGCACCGGCCGCAGCTTCACAGCAACGCTCATGCTCGGCGGCCCAGCTTGTCTTCCCGCAATGCAGAGGGGAGTTATCAGCAGGATGTGCCACACGGTCCAAACCATCGTTAATCATGTTGGCAGAACCATGGATGCCTGCACTACCTCCGTTTTTTTGCTTCTTGGAACGGTCCAGGTCTGGTTGCTGAGACATGTTTCGCCAGGCAGGTCATGAACCATGAGCAGCGTCTATGTCTATGGCTCATTGGGGGAGGTCGAGCGGGCGAATTACCACAATGGGAGGCGGCTGCCCGAATGAACCAACAGGTTGGCCATTCTGGAAGAACGTCTCGGGCTGTCGCAGAGAGTTCCGACCAGAGATGAAAGAGTGGCCCCAGGGAGCAACTGACCCCAACATAAGCAGATCGAGATGCCCAAGGCCGCTCGGCCTTCGGCAACCGCGTGCTGAGGGCCAGCATCTTTAGCGGGACGCAGGCAACAGCCTCAGCCGGCATTGGAAGCGGCTCGCATGCAGAGATTTCAGGAGCTCCTTTTCCCCTTTGAATGCGTGCAAGCACGACAATGTCAATCAGAGCAGACCTGCTAACAGGCACCAGCAATTTCGTGTGTTGTCTTGCTTCCTTGATCTCAGGTCTTCGCCATCATCGCGGTTCTGGCATGCATGATCGCGGATCGAGCGTCCGCCGACTCAGCGTTGCCTGATGACCTACTTGGCCCTGCAGAGTCCAAAGTCAGATAGCCTGCAGCAATGCCCCCTTTCTGTTCTTCCTTCGCTGTGAGCGTGAAATCAATCATGGAAGCATGCTCCTTTGAAGCTGACCTGGCAAGTGAACCTTCTTCAGCCATACGAGGTATTTGGGCCCCAGGAGTCAGAGCAGGATGTGTGGAAGCTAGGTACCTAGGTACCCCAGCCCGCTATTCAGAGGGCTGTTAGTGGCCAAGTTTTGCTGCCTAGCCATGCTTAGACATGAAGAAACCCAAAGGACCATGGCTTTTCAGGTGAGGAGATCAATGATGTTTCAGACCCCTTTTTGACATGCAATGCTGAGGTTGTACACTTGGTACACCCAAGAACGCTTTCTGGCGGAAGGCCTGGCTTTCAATTCTGAGAGATTTGCAGAGATGCGATAGGAGTGGCACAAAGCTCTGGCTCCTTTGGTGTCCCTTTGCGGAATGGCCCGTTGCACGTGTGTTTCCATTTAGGAGGGTTCGCTTACATTGTCCAAGGGTGTAATGTTTAGGTGGGATGAGAAGGCCACTTTCCGGAAGTGTCGGTTCTTTTCAGCGGAGTTCGGGTGTGCAGCTTGGAGATGTTAGGTGCCTTGGCTCAAATTTGGGAGCCCTCCTTCTTCCCCCCCCCCTCAACAAACACCTCATCCCCAATGTTGAATTCCGGCACATAGTGCTGATGACTTGCCGGGGAACCAATATGTATATATATATATATGTTGCTGAAAGGATGATGCCCTCACTGGTCTGAAGGATCCCAAGTGGCGCCAATCCTTTGGTTGCCACGCGTCCCAATTTTGTACCGCCACAACGGCCTTCGGTGCTAGAAGGCTCACGGGTCTTTGGATTCCTCTGTTGCCCAGTGGTGCCCTTCTTTTTTTTGGGGGGGGCCAGGATTCCCTTTAAGCTCAACCTTTTTTCGTTTTTTGGGGAAAGGTTCCCCTTTAAACTCAACCAACAAAATGAGGGTGCCCGTTCTTTCCCATGGAAATCCACTGGGCATTTGCGATTCGATCGAGAGTAAGCCGCACAAAGCGTGCCAGGTAGCGGCGTGGAGGCCGGGGAATTGTCCCAAGACTGGGAGGGAAGTGACTGTGGCTCAAAAACAGTACCAAAATGGAACCTGGTAACCTGGTAAGTGGAAACATGGACCAAAACCTGCGTAACCTCTCCTTTGTAATTTGGAGCCACACCCAAGTATCTGACACTTGAACTTCGGCCGCTTTGGGCCTTTGACCATGGCCCCCCTTTCAGTTTACACACCCAAGCATGGTGTGGTTTGGCCAGTCAACTCGCTTCCGAGTTGTTTTTTTTGGAATAGTGAGATTAGGTTTTTGTTGTTTTATAATTATTTATCAGTGAACACAGTTGTGGGCGCAGGTGCTCCTCGAATGCTGTTTGCTGCTGAATCCTGACTGCTCTGTCCCTTTGTCCCTTTACATCGTTGTTGCCGAGCATGCTGCTTTGAGCAGTCGCTCCCAGGATGCAAGTTGCTGTGCGACTGGGGTGACAAGCTAAAGCTGAGTTGGGAAGCACCCAAAAAGCAACCCTCACTTTGCCAAGTGAGAACCTGTCAAAGCTTTGGCGGCGTATTGTATGTGTTTTGTGCTGGCAACGGAAAGGACACCAACCAAGGGGAGGGGGCCTTGTTTTGACACAGCGAGCCGTGTTTCACTTGTGAGGCAGAGTCAACTAGCTCGTCACCTGGCAAGGACCTTGGCCCGACTACTCACAGACCTCAAGCCTGCAAGCCACGGGTCCAATAAATGTTGGCCTTTCCACTGGACCCTGTGTTTGTTCGTGTTATCTTTGTTCACAGGGTCAGGGGGTCAAACCCACTTGGGACCTCTTTTTTTGGTGGTTGTACGGGGAAAACAAAGGAACACCACCCCGCCCCCAAAAAAGACATACCCTCGAAAAAAAAAGATACCCCAACTTGTCAAACCCCGAGGAGTTTCCATGTCAATTCCCGAAAGCATGGCGAAGGATTCTTCCGCTGGGTTCACTTGAGTTGTTCTCATGAGAGTCATTACAAGGTGTCATTGCAAGGAATCATCATCATGAAAGTCAATGCAAGGAGTCATTGCAAGGAGTCATTGCAAGGAGTCATTGCAAGGAGTCGTTGCAAGGAGTCATTGCAAGGAGTCATTGCAAGGAGTCATGGCAAGGATTGCAACTTGCACTTGACTCCTTGCACTTGCAACTTGCACTTGACTCCTTGCACTTGCAACTTGACTCCATGCACTTGCAACTTGCACTTGACTCCATGCACTTGGCTCCTTGCACTTGGCTCCTTGCACTTGGCAACTTGCACTTAACTCCGTGCACTTGCGACTTGCACTTGACTCCATGCACTTGGCTCCTTGCAACTTGCAATGGCTCTCATGACTCCTTGCAATGACTCCTTGCAATGACTCCTTGCAATGACTCCTTGCAATGACTCCTTGCAATGACTCCTTGCAATGACTCCTTGCAAATGACTCCTTGCAATGACTCCTTGCAATGACTCCTTGCAATGACTCCTTGCAATGACTCCTTGAAACAAGCAAGGAGTCAAGTGCAAGTTGCAAGTGCAAGGAGTCAAGTGCAATTGACTTGCGAGGAGTTAAAATCTCTTCTTAGGGCGGCGGGGTAGTGCCGACGACACTACACGAAAATCGACCCTCTGCGGGGATCGGCGTGGTCGAGGTGCAAAAACCCATGGTTTTTTGCGATTTCTAACCTGCTCGCGCGACCCTCTGCGGGGATCGGCGTGGTCGAGGTGCAAAAACCCATGGTTTTTTGCGATTTCTGCGGTGCTCGCGCGACCCTCTGCGGGGATCGGCGTGGTCGAGGTGCAAAAACCCATGGTTTTTTGCGATTTCTAACCTGCTCGCGCGACCCTCTGCGGGGATCGGCGTGGTCGAGGTGCAAAAACCCATGGTTTTTTGCGATTTCTAACCTGCTCGCGCGACCCTCTGCGGGGATCGGCGTGGTCGAGGTGCAAAAACCCATGGTTTTTTGCGATTTCTGCGGTGCTCGCGCAACCCTCTGCGGGAATCGGCGTGGTCGAGGTGCAAAAACTCAAGGTTTTTTGCGACTTTTGTTGTTCGAACTGGTCCTCGGGAGTTGTCTCGTGGTTCGCGCGCCTGCTCCCGGAACCGGCGGGTCGCGGGTTCGATTCCTCCCTGGTCCGCGGGCGGGCGTCGCAAGATGCAACTTGCATTTTACAGCAACTTGCGCAGAGCAACTTGCGCAGAGCAAGTTGCACAGAGCAACTTGCGCAGACCAACTTGCACCGACCAGTTTGCGCAGAGCGCCTTGCCTAGAGCAACTTGCGCAGAGCAACTTACGCAGAGCAACTTGCACAGAGCAACTTGCACAGAGCAGCTTGCACAGAGCAACTTGCAGGGAGCGCAATTTGCACAGAGCAACTTGCAGGGAGCCACTTGCAGGGACCAACTTGCCGGAGCAACTTGCGCGGAGCAACTTGCGCAGAGCAACTTGCACAGTGCAACTTGCGTAGAGCAACTTGCGCAGACCAACTTGCACCGACCAGTTTGCGCAGAGCACCTTGCCTGGTGCTGTCTCGCGCTTGCTTCACGAAGTGTAGGGAAAAAGAACGCATCCTGCAGCGTTGGGCCGACCTCGCTTGCGATGTTCTGCTTTCGGGCCAACCGTGGTCTAGTTTTTTGCAGGCCTGGCATGTGGCTGAGGTCACGAGCCATCTGCTCAAGGCCACGGTGCTTGCAGTGGCATTCGGCGTTGAACGAACTTTTTCGCCCGCAGCTGGCATGGCAAACATTGGCGATACTGCAACATTTGAGCGTGTGGAAAGAGCCCCATGTAAGTTCTAATAAGTTCCATGCTTGGCGCGCACAAGATTTCGCAAGCGCCTGTGCGCTCGCCCGCTGAAATCAAACCGTCAAGTCTCAACATGCAAATGCCGCTTGGCGAGGGGCCGAAGCAAGCAGCAGCCCCAGATGTTGCCGGGGATGAACTGGGGAAGGAACGGAGGCATCTGTGCACAGACCTATTTTCTGTACTCCGGGTGAATAGGTGGGTATGGGGATCAGAGAGATCAGGCACCAACTCTAATGGCACGGGGTCATCATCAATCCTTGGGG